TATTTTTGTCATTTATTTATGATTTTATTAATATACAAGTACGTAACATATAATTTATCACATATTTCTACAAAAAATAAGATTATTTAAAAATGTATCAATCTTCTATTATAAATAAGAAAATAATATTCAAATTAGTTTTAAAATGCTACATCTAATACGTATATGATCTATATAGTAATACTGCATTCACAGATATGAGTAGCAGAATAAAGATGATAATAGTCATGAGTTGAAAATATCCAATCTGTTAACAGTTACTCATTGTAAAGTTGTTAAAAAAAATTTTTCTTCCGAAAGTTATGTAAAAGAGCTTTATGGATGACACAGCTTACGTTAGAATGCACAATTATTAAATAAGTGAAAAAGCGTTAGGTAGTTAAACTTGTAGTAAATATGTATAATATATATGTATATGTTAGCGTGTTCAAAATAACTAAAAAATTATAATTTCAAAATGAGTTTTAATTAAATCAATATAAAAAAAAAAATATTCACTCAAGTTATTAAATATCTTTTATAATATTATACAAGTAATCATATTTTTAACAAAATAACATACAAACATTCAATATTTCAGGTTTCAAGCCACTACTATAGATAACTCGCTATAAAATGAAAGTAAATTAAAATTTCAAACGGATGCTTTACAGTTATCATGTCAGATATGGACATTGTAGAAGTTGACGATGAGAACCAATTTCACGAAAATAAAAATGAAAATCCTAAATTAATTTCTCAGTCAGGTAAAATAATTTTGAATTATTAGTAATAACATCATATAACTACTATAATACATTTTTAAAAAGTTTTTTTTTTTTTTTAATCATTCTCATTTATGTAAACATGATTCATTAAATATGTGTTTAATTTATAATAATAAAGTTATAATAGTATGATTTAGTTTCTAATAAAAAATAATAAACAAAATAGGTTCTAATAAAATAATATATCAGTATACTAAGTAGCTATGCCTACAACCAAACGTATTAATTACAATAACAAGGTATCTAATCATATTAAATTATTATCGTGTCATAGACTTCCATACATATTGAGTAAAAATAACGATCTTATCTCATTTTTTCAAACAATAAGTAGTTATTGTAGCGCCAGGTTATAGCGTGCTAAAGTCGAATTTACGCTTGTCGTAAACTAACATTCTGTACCTGGCACAATACTATGATTTGGGTATTCGCCAGTACGGTGTTGAACGATAAAAACCGATCGCACCTACAAGTGACAAATTTAATTTAAAACTTTCAAATATAAACTAGTTATTATTGAGGTGTGCCAATGTTAAATTGATGAAAATCACGATTAAAAAGTATTTTAGTAAAGAATAAAATTAAGAATAAATAATACAATAATAAAATAAAAAATAAAATTCTGACTATTAGACATTATCTAGATCATGTGGACTGTACGGTATTATTTTAGAATCATTAGATTCGATAAAAAATATAAATGTAATGTACGGACAAATCAAAATTAAAATAGATTTCTATATAAATAGGTTATGTCATAAGGTTTTAATGCGTTTTCAAGGTACTAAAGAATTCTAAAAAAGTTTACCTTTCTATAGTATTCGCTTGTATTCAATTTTCAATCGATCGATGGTGCTATATGCATTTTTATTCTTCCGGAAAGGGTTATTCTTTGAAAAAATAATAATAAATCGTTGTAAACCAATAGTTGCCACCAATTCATTTCGAATTTAAAACATAATAAATGATTAATTTTTTTATAGGAATAGAGAAAATAAAAATATTTTTTCATTTTTAGAAACAAGGATTGGAGGAAAAACAGAAAGTGTTCGTCGTATGGTAGATATAACCCGTGAAAAACCAATTAAAGTGTCCATAAGGGTATCCGTACCTGTAAGAGACCACCCAAAGGTATGCGTTAAGGACATATCAATTACAAATAGTGAAAGGAAATAATTATTATACACGTTTTGATTAATAATAATAATAATAATAATAATAATAATTGATTAATAATGTGCATTTTACATATTAATACAAATTTAAAATTTAAAAATTATGTACCTTAACATTTACACACGTCTATAACATACTTTGTTCATAATATTTGATTAAATTAATTATTTATATTATATTACATATATATAATATTTAATTATCTTAATTTCTGAAAGTTATCAAAACAATTAACATATTAATTACTGTCGTTTACATAAATGTTTTAGAAGTAGTTTCAAATAAGTATTTTAAAGTATTTAAGTAAACTTAAAGTAAATTTTAAATATCTAGTTGTTTATATTGTAATTGATAATTTAAATACTTTTAAAAGAAAGAAAAATATGCAGTGTGTTATCAGAAAATCATACAAGATATCATGTGCGAGCTTATAAGAGGGTAACTTATTTTATTTACTTTAGAAATCAAAATGTATCCATGCTCTGATATGTGCATATGTATACTTCATTATTTTTATACAAAAAGATATGTTTAAAACGTGAATAATATCGATTTCAATTTATATGCCAGGTATATAAAATACAAAGTCTGCATGTGCTACATGTAGATGTAACTTAGAATCTTATACTATAAGTTATACGTATTATTTTTATTATTAATTAATTAAAAATATATAATAAAATATTTATAAATGTAAAATAAATGAATCTGGTAATGTTATTTCATGTTATATGGGATTAAATGTTCATGAAACAAATTATGTTTTCAAATTATTATTAATTTTTCTTGGGTAATAATGATATCATAGCTAAATTCTTTTATTAAATTTCTTATAAACTTTATTTCATATAACTTATAAAAGTGTGCATTTTACAAAGACGTCGTTTTACTTTATATTTGATTACTTAACTTTTAATTTTTATTTAATTTATAATATATATTAATATTTAATTGTGTATATATTTTTACTACTCATAATTGTATATCAACAAAAGAATTGTGTCATAGAATAAATATAAAATATTACAAAAGGTAGGTGTAGGGATTTTGTAAAATGTCAAATAATGAATTGTCTGATGGTCCAAAAGTAAAAGTATCATATTCATATAAACAGGGTGGGCGAGAGGGTGGAGCAGGAAGGGCTAGAGCCCCGGGGCCCGTACGTCCGAGAGTGCTCGTCGTTTCGGCCTTGTATACAATGTTTTTGTTGTACCAAAGCATGTACAAGTGGTCTTGGTGCGTCTTGGTCAAACAATTGCAAAGGGAACCTAACCTAACCTAACCTAACTTCCGCAGCCTCGGAGCCCTCAGTTCTCGCCGGCCCGGCACATAAATCTCAATAAGAAATATATTCTTATAAGAATAAAATTATTTTCTCGAATCATACTGCATAAATATTTTAATACTTTTTTGTTCGAATATTTTAAGAAATTTTAAGACTTAAGTATTCAATTTGAGTTTTATTTTTAACCATTATTATTTAATAGTATAAGCAAAAAATATTAAACAATATTTTGCTTACCGTAAACTATAATTATAATCTATGTATATTATGATTGTAAATACATTTAATTTTGCTGTAATGTTTACGAAAAAGGCAAATTAAATAAAAAAATTTAAAATAAAATACATTGAACCAAATCAAACAAATAAGATTGACAATATTTCTTTATCAAACAACTGTGCACAATAGTATTAATATTGAATTTTCGATATTGTAACTAATGTACGCATTTGATATGTTTCAAGTTTAACTTTGTGGGCAAACTATTAGGACCAAAGGGCAATTCTTTGAAAAGACTACAGGAAGACACCATAACGAAAATGGCAATACTCGGACGTGGATCAATGCGCGATCGAAACAAGGTAATCAGGTCGTATTGTTCTTATATAATATGATACAATAGATTTTTGAGCTGTATTCGTCCAAGTGTAATATATTTTGCGCCGGACGAAAGTTCGATTGTCATCCAACGAATATGTTGTGCTGTAAAGTCGTTTGCGTTAAACACACACACATACACATAAATGGATTAAACAAACATAATATTATACTGATTAAAATGTGTATGCTTGAGTGGAGGAATACGAGTACGGTTGACTACCTAAATCAATTTATGTATACATATATATATATATATATATATATATATATATTATAGGAAGGGAAATTGCATTAACTACCGTATAGCGTGTCAACAGCTGCGTATAAAACGTTTTTCTAACGCATATTCGAACTTGCTACCGGAGTCTTCTACATAAGCCTAAATGCCTCGGGGTTAAGCTTGGAAAAAACTATATGTAAATGCATGATTCCCGGTGACTGTGTTTAATTCGAAACCAAACACTATTTTCCCAGGTACGGTTTTTGTTAAACGATACACATGGTTTATTTCTAATGCACATATATTCGACGGTGGATCCAAGTTTTACGTTTGAATTGCTACACGTATTCGCACGTAATACGTAACATATATATATATATATATATACCTCACCCATTACCCAGAAAAAATGTATATTTTGTACGTTTAAAGTATTTTCGCCACCACCACTATTTCCTATTTTTTTCCGTTTCCTTTTATCGCTATTTTCCCTACTTTACCAAAAACCGTTCGATTATTATAATATCTAGTATGATATTATAAAAGTATATATTTTTATAATATATCCGTAAAAAACAGCACTCATTCACCCCAAGGCATACATGTAAAATCGCATTCTATATATTACATAAATGAATAGACATACGCGTTTTCTAAATGCTCTACAAATGAATACTATCAAAATTAATAATTTCCATCCTTGTTTTAATAATATTTTATTCGTAGCGTATTTCTTTGTAAAGTCTAATTTATACATATATATAATAGTATATACAATGTGTTTTAATCAAAACTTGTATCAGCATGTATCCATCCAATTGTACATAATATAACGTTATTTGTTTAGAATTGTAATAAGTACACTCCTGTTGTTATCGAACAATGAAACACTATCAATATCGTTCCTTTTATAATTTTACAGTGTTTGGCACAACCGTGCGAGGGTGTATATTACAGATCGTGTACATTCTTAATTGTTTACATGTATATATGTATATAATACATGGAACGCAAAAATTAAAATTTGAGTATACTATGGGTTAATCAATTTTTATTACGTGAACTTTTTGTTACCTTAGTATAATTTATATCTTACAAGTAATTTGCATTTTGGCTTATAAATAATATATTTATTATTACAAATACCGATTTTTAAAATAATGTGTGTCTACAAATATATGATCAGTTCAATTCAATAGTATATATCAGGGATGAGCAATTGGCGCCCCGCGTACTTCATCTGGCCCGTGCTACATTTACAAATTCTTTCTTTACATTTTAGCGGTGATCAGTATCTATTTTTTTTTATGTAGATCGTAAAATGTGGATATTATATTTTTCTTTTGCATTGAACTCCAACTAAATCATTAAATGTATAAATATAATTTATATCTATATCGGTGTAGCTCACTTTGCTGTAGGTATTAGCACTTATTCTACTATATTGGTTCAGTCGTAAAATTAAATTAATTACAATAAATAATGATTGTACATTTTAATAACCTTTTTTTCTTTTTTACTTTCTTTATGGCTCGTCAAATTTGAAAGTTCTAAAAATTGTAAAAATTGATCTTCTAGTTACTTCGAGTTTCCCATCTCTGATATATTTAATCATACAAGTATATTATATGTATTTAATTATTAAAATCAACTTCAATGTTTAACTATAACAACATGTTATTGTATTGCCGTTTTGGAATAATAACAATAATTTATGTACTTTCATATCTTATATCGGTACTCATTATCATAACAAATCTTAATGGAATGAAATATTGAAAGTTGAAATACGCCAGTCGATAATCGAGTAATGCTATTCAAACTTTTTAAAATGAACAGAAGTTTAACACGTATAATATAACTAAAAACTTAAGTGTTAAAGTGACCCTATAATAAGTTTAAATATTATGAACGATATAACTATGAAAAAGTAATATTAGGTGTATTAAAGTTCTTTCAAATACAGAAATAGGAAGCTTTTCAACTTTTCAATCTTCATAATTTACAACTTACCAAACCCTTGTATAAGTATAATTTTCTATTTATTTATAATATTCAGTATAGGTTTTATTTTTATCAGAAGTTAATATTTTCAAAATTGTAATCGAATATTAAAATAATCTATTCAATTATAATATCTATAATATCTATTTAATTTTATGTTTTTACTAAAATTTGTATTGTAAAATTAAAATTTTTATAAATTTTGTACATTGTATTATCCTATTATATATAAAATATATTCGAAATTATCTGATTATTTTGCATAATATGTTTTTATTACAATTAATAATTTATTCATTTAACAAATAAGTTAGAAAATAAAACAGTTTTTCTTTTATCGTGAAATATTTTACAATTTTATTTGGTTTTTCTTCCATTATAAAAATAGTGTTTAAAAATTTTAAAAAGTATAGTACTATACAAATTATTAGTGAGAAACAAGAAAACTTTTATTAAAAACTTATAATCGAACTAAAATAAAGGTATCTCAATTAACTGTTTGTTCTTATTAAATTGAATTTATCAACTATATTGTTGCATTCTAATCAATTTAATCATATTATAAACTAAAGAAAATTTAACATGATGTACGTCTTTATAAATTCATTTTTAAAACTAAAATGTACACTTTGACATTGTTTGAAGGAAGAAAAATTAAGGAACTCGGGTGATCCGAAATTTTCACACCTTAAAGATGATCTTCATGTTGAAATAACAGCATTTGCTCCTCCGGCAGAGGCACACGCTCGTATTGCATACGCATTAACAGAAGTGCGAAGATTTTTAGTACCGGTAAGTACGTTATGCATTTTTACGTTTCTAAACATAAAATAATGTGTAGATTATAAAACAAGAGTGATAAATATTAACCGCTTAAATTTATAGAAGTCTAAACATCGGATGATGAATTTAATTACTATTTTTATTAATGTACCTACGTTATAATCTTTTAAATATTTTAATATCCACTGTTACTTTTATTACAAAAATATTATTAATTACATGGAAGTTTTATTGCGTCCTAATTCACGAAAAGTGCCGATTACATTAAAGTGTCGAGTATTACGCATATAATTTATTACATACCTAACGCAGATACTTACGCCTATTATTATACGCAGTACATAGTTAGTATTTTCATGAGATACCAGTTCTGATCATATCACCTCACTTTTAGTATAATTAAGTGCACTTCCTTTCAAGGAAGCTAACATAACTTACTTCATTGGTGTATATATTAAAATTTTGGAAGGGATTAAATTTAATTTTTAAGACTGAAATATGCTTATTATACTATAAAATGAATAAAAGGATTGCACGCGTAATTAAATATAAATCTCATGAGAATAGTTGATATTGATATGATCAATTAATTCTAGGTAACTAGTAGTATAAGCTACTAGATAAATTATTAAATAAAGTTAAATATTAACTATACAAAAAAAAAAATATTAATTTTAAAGACGTAATTAAAAAAAACGTGGTGTAAATTAAAAGTAACCGAGATTTTAGACAAGAGTCACATTCATTTTTTATTTTTACATATATTGAGTAAGATTATCAAGTTAAATAAATATTAAATAATTAAGTTAAAAAAATGTATTTCAGTTAACTCGTTTAAGATAATTGAGCCCATTCATTTAACAACAAAAAATCCAGACCAAAGGATCGTTTTGTAAACGCTGCATTCGTTGTTTAAAAAACCATTACATTTTTAATTATGTTTACCCTGTCATTGACCCGTTACCATCTCAACTGTTAACGGCTCAAAAAGACATTTTATTCATCGTTATTTGTTGAATTAACATTCTACGTAATTATTTTAAATGTACACAAATGTACGGTGGGGTGATGACGATGGGGATGGGACTTTTACAATTTCTAAATAATTCAATCAGAAATTGTTGATTAATACTTCCATTTGCGCGCTGAAACAATATTACATGCTTATATAATTAATATCATTGTGTAGTTTGCGAGTATTATTTAATTCGGGTTTGTAACTGTACGCGTACGATTTTGATAACAGGATTATAACGATGAAATACGACAGGAGCAAATGTGGGAGATGCAAATACTGCAGAAGGGGACCACGGGGGACGTGACGGATTCGGAAACGGGCGAAAGCGGCGGATCTTCGTCACATTCCGTGGACGATAATCGTCAAAATTACAGCGCCGCCGTTCATTCGGCCGGCGAGTGTTCACCAGTGCATAACAAACACAGCAATATCAACACTAATCATACCATAGTTAACGTTTCAGGTAAACATGTATGCCGAAGTGTATGGATACATATTTATATACATTATTAATAATAACTAATTACACAACAACGGGTCGTCAAGTGTAGCTGTACTTACTCATCCAAAACCCATTCGTATACACGGTCTAATGGCAAGATTTCACATATGAAATAGTTTTTGTTCTATTACATTTTTTTTTCCTTATAAAAATAACGTTTTGATATTAATTTGGGAAAAAAATATTATTCGAACAAAAGCTGTTGCATTTACCGAATCTTACTAAAAAATTCTGTTACACACCGATACGCCTTCTATAATACATGCAACATATATGTGTATACGATTTTAGACGTAAAATGAGGTGTATACATTTCGTGTAAGCGTATAATCGTATGGATGGTGATTGTATTGATGCTGCAGGTGGTGGTTGTACACGTAATCCCAACGACGTTACCTCCGAACTTTTCCGACCCCATTCACTATATTTTACTACAATAAGCTACGCGGAGATTTCCTTTTCAACACCTTCACGGTCTATATTATTGAATTTGCTCCTATACACACCGCTAGACTGAATACTTTGTCCAAAATCGATTCGCGTTAATGACGAAAGTTAACACGAAAAGTTCTTTGCAACGTCTACATGCAGTGCACAGCGACATTTGTACAGCTTAATACGCTGCATTTAGATACATCTCGGCACACTATTTACCATCCTTAATAAGTGAGATTTTGATACTTGGACGGAAAGAGGTTTGGCCGTTTTAAGCTATATAAATTTCTAAAAATATCGCATTGTGTCGAGCAATTAAGAACGTACCTTTATAATGATCTAGTGTAATCGAGTATACTCCAATCTAATATAATCAAAAACTATTGATTCACAGCTCTAAAATATCTTATTATTATTGTTACTTAATTCATAACATATGTATGTAAAAAATTGTATAACAATAGTTATAGCAAATATTACAGGAACAATATTTGTATTACTAAAAATGTAAAAATTATATACTCGTACTTACCCGGACAAGAATTTTTTTTTACAATAATTTATAATTTTGTGATTATTAAATTTTATATACTTGAGTTTGAATTTTAATTTTTATTATAAAAGTTACAACAGTTATTATGGTGATGCCTAAGTATTTATATATGGTATATTTTGAGTATAGAAAAACATATTAATCCGAATAATCCAAACGTTTTAACGGAAACTCCGGGAAGAAAACGCCCACTTTTGTCAGGAGAATGTGCTAAAGTATCAATGACTCCATCGAAGAGGACAGTAATGGCAATTTTAGCAAGGGCTCGAACATCTCAAATTCACGCTAAAGATATGGTCACGTTTTCGCCACATTTTAATGGGTACGTTATGTTTATTTATACATTTTTTTCCAACTTTTTAAAGATTTAACACTTGAAAAATCAAATCTTTTCAGTACATGGAAGTCATGATAATATTTCATTTATAAATTATATAATAACAAAATATGATATAGTTTTATAATTTTATGTTATACATTGAGCATTTATAAGTCGTAAGTATCATTATTACAAAAGTTTTTTTATGTTTTCTTTTTTTTTTCAGACTCGTTCAAACAGACGTATCCACATACCGAGAAAAGCCTTTCATCCCCACAACCAATTTGCTTTTGAACTAAATGTATAATTCTCTTCGCATCATTCATAGATTATCCAATCAAACTTCTCTGTAATCACAATGCATGAAATGTATGGGTCTTTGTATGTTTCAATTTATATATATAAATATATATATATATATATATATACACATATATTTCACTTATCGTTATAAAAAAATCTTTTTTGTTTAATTTTTGTATGGGCTAACATTTTAAGAACTATTTTAAAACTTCATGAATCAATATTATATATATTTATTAAAATTAGAAAAAAGTTGCTCAATGTATGTTACAATAATTTACTTTGTGTTTTGAACAAGATAAGAATAAAAAAATAGAATAGCTGATAATAATTATCATAGAAATTAAACTGAATAAGATAGACATATTTAACTGTCTCAATATGCTTAAAATGTGAACTAAATACCTTTAGAATTAATGTAGTAATCACACGAATTCACAGAACTCCTTGTAAAAGTAAGTTAGAAAATTTATTTGAAGTGAATAATTGATACTCGGTTTTATGTTGAGTAAAAACTAAGGAGGTAAGTTATTTAACTTTTAATTTATTTTATTTGTGTAATTTTCTATAAAACTACATTTTTACTTATAAGTTATAAAGAGCTGTTTAGTATTTAATAATAATAATATTTATTTAGCAGTTTTGAAATTATTTACAATTTATTATTATTATATAATTTGAATATAATGTTTATTTTTTTTAAGTAGTTACATTTTATTTTAAATTGTTTGATGTATTCTCATAATTTAATTATATTAAATAATATAAACTATCTAAATAAATATTTGTTAATTAATCAAAATAATTAAAACACTATTATAGATAATAATATTTATATTTAAGCTAATTTTTTTTTTTTTAATTAAATAATAAAGTTGATTACAATATACTTGAATACAATAAGATATTATAAAGCAGTGTAATTATTTAATAGTATAGTAATACGGGAAAGGTATTTGGTAAAGATATGCAGCCTGTAAATAGTATTGTTACATGTTATACACATAAATTTAAGTTTGCATTTAGATTCTCATATATTTGTACACGTGTATTTTAATGAATTTAATAATAACTCATAATATGTTATTTTTAATACAGCAATATATTATTTCCTTCTTTGATAATTAATATCATAATTTCAATATCTTTAAAACATTAAAAATGCATTTTTTCGATTGAATATGATTTTAATATTTATGAAATAAATAAATTGTATTCATTTTTAAAAAAAAATAAAATGCATGTTATTGGACACATGTTGATAAAATATATGTATATTTAAATTTTTAAATATTATAGTTTATAAATTCCAATCAAATATAAATATCAATTGAAGATTAATATAATAATTTATATTAGTAATTTTACAGGTATTTGTATTATGTATTTTTGAATAAAACGCTTCGTATACTTTACAACCATATTTTTAACAATTTTTATTATTTTTTTAGATATAAAATTACTAGAGATTTCAAGATTTGAATCGTATTACATTTTAAGTTTAAATTTGTATAAGTCAATTTACACCTTATAATAAGAGTAATATGTTTTATAGTTGCTTGGTTTTTTATCAACTCATTAGTATACGCACACATAAAATAGATACAATATACATGTAAGGTATCAAAAAATGTTGAAGTTTCCTTTTCGAAGGGAAATAAAATACGAGTCTTCGAATGAGTATAAATAAGATCCCTTAGGAATAGACGTTAGAATTTTTATGAGCATGTTATCTGATTATGTGATCTGGGACTTGCGATGCGTTTATTTATTAAACGATTTTCCAACCACTAACTATAAATCGCTTCGTGTGCACCAATTATGTAGTTATAAATTGTAAGTCATTGATGTACAACGTAAAATCAAATCGTATGGAGTTAAGCAAAAGACATTGTACGTACATATAGTTGGCACGTCTAACATAATTTGCAATAGTATTATTTTCAATATTAATCAAGTCTTAATTTTGTTCATTAATATACAATGAAATTAGACAAAGATGCTTGATTACTCTACTTTGTCATTCATTGGATATTTAATTATTCATAAAAATCTCTTGTTGTAAAGACCCCTTGGACGAACAATAATTTAAAATCCTGTAAAATCATATTATATAACATATTCTACATAAGTTGTCTGCCATAGATTCACTTAAATATCTTAATTAGTATTTAAACTGAAAAATGTTCATCAGAAGATCTATTGCATTTATTATTTTCGTATTTCAATAAAGGATCGAATCGTTTAAAAGGAATATAATTGTTAACAGAGTGTCTAAGTCATTTTTTCATCTATTTATATATATACTCGTATATACCGTATATACGCATACTGCTTGGTAAATGGCAATGTATACTAAAAATGAATTATAAAAATACTTTATTAGTTGCTTATGTCAGTATCTGTGAAAAAATAAGGCTCGGATGTATTAATTAAACCAATTCATATACAGTAGTAGTCTATGCATAATACATATAGGAATATATTAACAACAGTTTTCACTTAAAAATATAACAAAACGTTAACGTACTAGAAAAAAAAAAATTGTACATTTTCAATTTCTTACCTATAATTTTTTTCTTCGAATGACTAACCGTCACTTAATCACTTAAAAATGATTCTAGTAACATGTATTTAATATTATTTAGCCTATCATTAATACTCGTGTGTATTGTTTTAAATAAGTGTTCACTAATTAAATAATAATAGTGTTAAAATAGTATTAATAGTAAAATAGTGTTAAAATAACTAATCGAATTTTGTGTATTCTACAATGCTAAAATTAATATTAAATAATAATACATTCTTTGAATATTCATTATCCAATAAATATATACTGCATAAACCTGGTTTATATTCTCTTAAATTTAGATGTAAATTTAATGATATATAATTTATTCATAAATTATCAAACAACAAAATAAACTGTTATAAAGTACTTAATATGATAAGCTGGTATATTTCCACTTTAACACTCGTTCCACGACTACTTTTTACGTACCTCACATTCTCACAATCACAATCTTATAATTTTAATGAGCCTTTGAGTCTTATTTTAAGAGAATGCAACAGCGTTGCTTTTGAGTTTAATTTTGATAACAAACATAAACTTCATTGTTTATACCTTGATTTTGGACAATCGACTGCCATGTTTTATTTCATTTTAATATTTAATAATTGCTATTCTTAATATTCCATAATTAATGTTTTTCTTATTCTATATTTAATATACTGTTAATATTTTTCTTCTTTTTATAACATTATTTACACTATTTGCTCTAATGGACGTTAATAACAAATAAATAAACATGAATATTTGAACATATCAGAATTCATTGTAGTTATATATTATTAGTTGCACATTCAAAAAATATTTGGTATGTATTATTCATTTATATTTAGTCATTATATAACTTTCCGTAACTTATTATTATGTAGTGTATACTGCATTGCAGGTGCGTGTTTCCTAAATATTATTTTTTTTTTTTGTGATGGCATAAATAATATAAATATGCACGGTATTTCGTAAATAATATAATATATAACTAATACATTTTGAGATAACACAAACACATAATATCATTTGTTTATTGGTTCTCGGGAGACTCATCTACGATTAAACTAAAATAATAAAATAATAAAATCTTCGTTGTAATTCAAATTTTACTCTATAAATTAATAAAAACATGATTATTTATAAAAAATAAATTTATTTTTATTTCAGATTTATTATATTTAATTATTTATTTTGTGAAATTTTTTGGTTTTCAAATTAAAATACAATTAAAATAATTTACTTGTCATTAGTATTACTGAAGAATATATTTTACATAATATTATGCACTCATGTAAATCAATGTTGGTTAAGTTATGAAATATAACAATTTAATGGACCCTGAAAAGATATAAAGGTAAACCCATAAAAGTGCGTCATCAAATAATAAAATAGTGAGTGCATATTGCATACCAATGGGACAACATGAAAATTGGGTATCGTCACGAATGTACTTGAATTGTCTACACGAAGCGTCGTTTATTATTCTTGGTACGCCTCGCACAGCGATTTTGTGTTATTAACGTAACCTTATTCTCATATTATTACATTGTCATCAAACTGACTTGTCTCTCTATAATCTTAAATGTTTGTAAACATCATAAATAAGTAATAGACTAAAATTCAAATTCATATAATATTAAAAAAAAAATTACTATTATACAATATCAGTAATTAGACTAAAACAAAAATATCTTGTATAATCCTGCAAAATAATTGATTGAAAATGTACTTTTCATATATGGTAGTGTTCACACTAATGATACCTAATTTGTTCCTAACCAGTTACTCTTATGCAAATAGTTTTCTATTATTATAATAAATTAAAATATATAGACTTTGTACAGCCTGCTGTTTATATTAAACATCCGAATGAAGGCTTAATATAAAATAACAAAAAACAAAATTGAATATTATGTAATTAAACATAATATTCAATTTTGTTTTTTTTTTATAATAATAATAATAATATTTGTATGTGACTAAACATAAAAATATTAAATCTGTAATGTTAAATTGGCAGTACGTGGAACGTTGCAGGAAAATTCTCTAGTTCACAATATATCTTACTTAACCCACTACAATATATCGATATATTGCAATTTGTAGTGTAGTCTCAGTGTAATATTCTCGTATAATTTTCACAAAATTAATATTTGAATGGTTCTTAAACAAATAATTTTTAAATAATTTTGCAAATTACATGTGAATTGCAAACCACATATATTATAATTACATATCAGAATCTGTAATAATATGTAATAGACAAATTTCATTTTTATGTTGAAATTCTTCTTCTTTTTTTTTTTTTTTGTACCGGATTGGAAGTATAAAGTACATGATAGGAAAGTGGCGTAATATTGTAATAGTGGTCAAAACTCTTAGAAAATATTTACGCAGAAAGAAGAACAAGAATATAAAAAAATATAAATAAAAAAACAAGAAACATTATATATATTATATATATATAATGTTTCTTGTTCTTTATTGTTTATATATATATTATTAAACATCAATATTTGGAACAAAAAATGAGCAGTAATAATTTGGTTTTGAACAAATTATCAAACTTATCCTTGACTTATTATTGAAGATGTATTTATGCCTGTACTTTTAACCACCGTAAAACCGGGTGAATAGAAACACCTTTTGATAATAACTTCTAACTATCGATATCATTTAATAAACTTCATTTTTGTGAATTTTTCTTCCATCAAATTATTGGAAATGTTGTTAACAATCGTACCAACTATTTACTTTTACCTCATAAACAAAACAAATATTTATAAAATATTTATTTTGATAAGAATATTTTACTTCCAAAAATGAAGTGCTAATTCGTTATCAGTTAATAATATCAAAACAAGTTCTTTACTCACCAACACTATTTTACACGGACAGACGTAGTGTGCAAATTAATTTAATGTAAATGTGAACTCATTACTACTATTGTACGATTTATTATGAAATTTTGAACTTAGATTTATTAATTTCAAGGTGAATAGAAACATGCCGAATGAATATGTTCCAGAACCTCAGAGCCGGTTTTGGCCATCAAACAAAAAAAAAATGACATACCGAGAGGCTGCAGAAGTATAAAAATTTATTTTGTTGTGTTAATTATGTTTAAAAAAAAATATATCTGTATATATAAAAATTTCGTGTCACGATGTATGTTCGTGATAATCTCCGAAACTACTAGACCGATTTTGATGAAATTTTTTACACCGTGGGTAATTTGGTCCAACTTAAAATATAGGATAGTTTTTTTTCAAATTTTTTAATATTTTAAATATTTTAATTAACTTTTTAATAAATGTGTATAATTGCATGGTGTATTTCGGGTTTTCCCGTGACCGACCGCAAGTATCTATATAGCTACCTGTAATCTGACCTTTTTTCTATTGTGTGTGTTTTATTGTCGTCGGCGTGTAGATATGAATTATTCCGAGAATTATATAACTAACCTAACCTATGATTTTTATCTCAATATTATTTTTTGCATTGCAATTGTTGTAATGAAGAAAGTTATAGAATTTTCGAGAAATGTTCAAAGGTATAAAATGCGAAGTTCGGTACGACGTAAATTCAGAAAATATATATGTTGGTTTGTACTTAATTTCAACATTTAGATACTTTACCTATTACTTTTAAATTTTCTCATACATAATAACACTAATACATGGCCTACGAAAATGCCAAAAAAACCAACTAATACGCGGGCAACGCCGTGTCGGGACAGCTAGTATTTATATATATATAATTTGTATTTAAATATCATTGTTGTATTTTTTTAAAACTTCAAAAACTGTTTCTATTCACAATCAAACAGAATGAATACCTAACAAATCATATTAAATTTATATGTACGTTTCTATTGACCCGTACATGAGTTTGTATAGAAACAGCATACTTAAAAATAAATTTTAAAATTTAAGACTTTTAATTTTTAAAGATTGTATTGTGTATTCAAAGACCCAAATTTGAAACCATTAATATAATGTTTTGTTATTTTAATTCCAAAGCTTTTAAAGTTGAAAAGTGTTTCTATTCACCCTGTTTTACGGCACTTGTTAATTTTTTTCATTAAATACGCACTTGACAGAAGTCGATGACTTGTCCATTCAGTTTAACATTTCGTTCAGAAATGTACCAAGAAAAATTCTTTAAAATCGGATTCTCGTTCTGCACGAATTTACTACAACATTCTATTAATAGTTTGGTTCATAACAAATTGTAATATCTACTTAACTGTGTCCATACCAAGTATAATAATTTATTGTGATCTGTTCAATATTTCTGTAGAACTACTGTAGAAAAAACATATTTTATTGAAGTTTAAAAGAGTATTATCTCTTTATACTTTAAATATGATATGAATTTGAAGCTTCAACGGTTTTTCGTAATAAAACTTGGTGTGTTCGCAATGTCTAAAAATATTGCATCTCGATGTAAAAGTTTTTGACTCGTTAAACAGAAAGGGTTCGACGTCCAATCCGAGGAACTCAAATCTTGTTACGCGTATCCGATCTTGCTTAAGTCTTCTGTACAATCAAAAGTACGTTTTGATTTGTCGATTTCTGAGAATACAAAGTAAAACCTTATCAGTAATTAATTTTACCGGGCATCATAACACAAAAACTTCTCACACATGTTTTCTTTTTCCTCGTAGAATATTGATTTTAAACCCTGTCATCTGGCAGTATATTTTCACATGGTAGTAAAAAATTGCTTTTAAAATTTAATTTCCTCTATTTTATGCTTTATCTGCGAATTAGTTTTGATTGGTTCAAACCATCTTGTCTGTTGACATCTAAAATAAAGTTCCTTCTTAAAAAAAAATTAAACTTGATAAAAAATCAATATTCCATTTACCTAATATTTATTGAATTATTAGTAAACTCTGTATTTTGATATATACGTATATAATTTTCCAAATTTTTTTTTTGAGTAGCAACTCAATAAGTATAATAACATGTAAATAAATGAATTCCATAAAACGTTCATTAAAAGCAGTAAAATTGAAGAGTAACACGAACGTTATATTATACAGCATATATTCATAGGTACTCAACATATAATAATTAATAATACTGATAAGTATACTCCAGGATGAACAAATAACATGATTCAAGGTCTACTTACATCCTTTTGAATGGTATATAGATTACATAATTTAATTTGGCCGATAACACTTATATTTGTGTACTTAATTATTATACTTTTATGTGTGTACATTATTATTTTTAATTAATAAGGCTATTGATCAATTGGCTTGTCAATACGTTTATTTCATTTAAACAAATGCAAATATACTTGTATAAAAGTTTAAATACCTACATAATTAGTTAATATTTTAGAATTTTAAAAGTGTTTGATCGTGTGGTAGTAAGTTTCTACTTTTAAAATGTGTGATCAATTTCAATTACATTTAAACTCTGAATCATACATTTCGACGTACTTTTATATGAATTTGCCTATTTAACTACTTTGTTTTCAACTTTTATTGTGTGTTGCTTTTTTTTATATTTAGCTTTTATGACCAATTTAAGCTAAACATATTTCTCATACACATTTTGTTAAAGTGTTAGAAACGTCAATTTCTTTACAAAATTTCATATGGATAACATAAGATAATGTATGCATTTTGTGTATCTAATATCATCTATTTAGGTGTTTACTAAAAAAAATCTTTTTTTCCAACTTATTGCTAGAGGAAATGGTTTGAGTAATATTATCTGAGTTCATTTCACGATAGAAAGGAAATAACTAACAACATTTAAAATATAAAAAAAAAGGAATTAAACTGTGAAGTCCAAATCATATTCAAATTTATGCAAATTAGAGGTGTAAATATATGTAAATTTAATAAGGAATGAACAGCACTGTTTTTATTTTAAAATCTTAGTTTTAATTGCATTATTAAGGAATCTACATATGGTTGGTATAAGGAAACTAAAATAATCTTCATGAGTATTTATTGGATGATTTGAACGATGCTTTTGGTTAGAAACAATACGAGGAATTTCAATTTCTTCTCCAAGCACGGAGGTGTCGGCACAGTGCTGGCCCGACGGTTTTCAGAGACCGGTGCAGCATTTTGCGGGGCCCCATACAATTATATTAATTTATTAATTGTTTATATAAATCTATGTTTTTTCGTATTATTATATAACTAAATATATACTATAACTATATTTCGAACTGTCGTCGACGATAAACAATTTTACAAGTGCATGCGCGTATAATACTTTAAAGCTATGCGTAATTGATACATCTTAATTTTCATCGATAGCAATCCGTTTATTAAGAAGACCACACGTCCATGCGGGTGACGATTTGTGTACTGGGACTATATTATTTTTATTTACAAATAAAGTAATAATCGTAATATATAATTTGTGGGGCCCCAAGGGCGTATTTAGATTTTTTTTGGGGGGGGGGGGGCTGTGGTATTTTTTCCAACTGAATTCCCCAATTCAGTCTATTAAAAACAAAAGTTGGAAAATTATTATACAAAATTTATCTATAATAGCGAAAACAAGTAACAACTATACGATGTAAACCGATAACCGTGATAATGTTATCGGTCGTCGCCGTCACTTCTAGGACATTTTTTAGCTCATAGGGGTTCGTATAAAAATTGTACGGTGATTGAGACGCCACAACGCGTGTAATATCAGTAAATCAATTCTAGGTAAAAGAAATCGAAATTACGATAATGCAGCAGTACCATACGTCAAAATTAAGCACAATGTACCGATCTCAATGGTATAATCGTTACGATCAAAATCGTCAGACCCTTTACATGAATAACTTGTTCGTTGTTACTAATAATTCTTTATAAAATTATATTGAACTTTTACGATTTACATCTGATAGGTCATAATAAGCAGACTTAATAAACAATTCCTGGATTTCGGAGAGGGGGCTGAAGCCCCCTAAGACCCCCCCCCCATAAATATACCCTGTGAGGTCACATAAAAGCGCGAAGCCTAGTGCGATCGCACCGTTTGCCCCCCCTCCCCTAAGGCCGGTACTGTGTCGCAAGATATCTGGTGAATCGGTCGCCAGTTGTGCCGCAGTCGTCCGGATGGCTTGCGCGATATTGTCGAAGGAGGTTCTGCACTTGACAGCGCAAAACTTCGACGAAATACGCACCGCACCGCATACGTGCTTCTCGGTACACAAGCGTAATATAATATCTGATGCTTTTAATGTACAGTGTCCATAGATGGCAACGAACGAGCGGTTCAGCCATGTCCAATACGAATGCGTGATGATCGACGGGAAACCGACGTGCCGAAACGTTTATTTAACAAGGATACGCATTGTAAAACACTCTCCGATACTATATTACAGTTCGCGTTGTAAACGTGTTTACAACCCGTTGTTCCTATTCGTTTTATTTTTTTTCTCCAGAAAGCTGCACGACCGACACTATTTATGTCCATCTCGTTCATGTTACTGTTTTCAGAATGACACCAACGTAAAAGGACTTCCGATGACGTTTTCCGAGGTGATGCAACTGAAAACGCTGTGTGAGTAGAGCATTTTTACAAATATACGACAGTGTTGTAAACATTCTTACTCGACCTCATGCGAGTTCATTTTTTTTGTTCTGTTCTCTCTCCCGTAGTTTTTTACTCGAAGACCAAATGGTGAAACATGCTGATAACATTGTCGTGTACAAATTATACTTGAAAAGCGTCGATCAGTTTTTGAACGCATGATCGGAACAGATCTTGCAGTTCACATTTGTGGGTTCAAGTATCAACTTGTTTCTTTTTTCTTCGAATTTCCTATGAATGTTTCTTAGCAGGAAAAAATGTTTGTAGAACCCATGACACTATGATGACGAGGATTTTAATTTTTTGTTTTTTTTTTTTTTTTTTTTTTAAATTTGAATTAAAAATTAATTTTTGTATTTTGGTGTTTTAAAGTTTATTTCATTATGTTTTCCCGTCAAATTTTCAAGGCATCGTTTTTTTTCTATTTCAGTTTTTGACAAGCATTTAAAAAATAAACATGAGAATATAAAAAAAGCTAATAATGTTTAACTTAAGTTGTATGCATGTCATATTCATTACAATGGTGTTATGCGTAGGTACAACTTAAATTGATAGGGTTAAACATTTGAAAACCATCAAAAATTGTAAATTTGAGCATTCCTTATCTCCTCCCGAAAACCGTATATCAATCCGATGTCACTGGACAGAATTATTAAGTTATTGGTTACCTTTAAAAGTAATCACACTGTGTATACACTCGTAACCAAATTTGTCCTATAGCTGATTATATTTTTATTTCTATAACAATTGTATGCAATTATATATGGATCCATATTTGTTGTAGTTAGTATAAAATATAAGTAATTACAAAAACAAGTATACACAGGGCCATAGCAAAAGGGTGGTGAGAGGTGCCTACGCCCCGGGTGCATTTCCTGGGATAGCGCAAAAAATGAAAATCTTGAATTTAATGTTATAAATTACAGCGGTCAATGTCGTATATTTTGTTTGCAAAATCTTTAACATCCTTCATATTAATTAAAGCAATCATTGAAAATAATATTTAATAAACATAATATTTTTAAATTAAAAATACATAAGGGTGCATTTTGAAGTTTCGTCCCGAGCGCAATATTTGGTTGCTACAGCACTGCACGAAACAACATACTACCTATTTTAAAATATATCTATCATTTTGTTAAACAAGTTACATGTAACATCAAAATCTATAAAAACATTTATACGTATTTTGGATCTTGGTTACTTACTCTAAATTAAATTAATATTCAAGTCAATACATTAAATTAATAAAAATTAAATGCTGGTTGTTTTTTTTTTTTTTACTGCGGGTGCTATGCAGAAGTTTTTTTTAATTAAAACACAATCTTGAGCTGAATTTATAATCCTACTAAAAAACATAAAATTCGGACACAATATCATGTAGTTCATTGACCTAGTATATCATCTTTCTATCTACATAAATCTTTAGTATATATAAGTTCATCTAATTTACATTTAAATAATACAAGTCTCATTTAAAAAAATTAAATATTTTAATTCAAACTTTTTTTTTAACATCATGACTTATTGACTGAATATTACTGGCATTTAAATTGGTTTTAACAGGTTTACTTGGATTGAATGTTAATCAGAGTACACTAGTACAGGTTCAAACTGTGTAGAAAAATCCAAAATTGTAGGTAATTATCCTCAAAAACCAAAATATTAATATGTATGTAGACAATAATTTGCATTGATTAATTATTACAACACAAATTAATTTAAAATAACAACAGAAAAAAAAAATTTGCTGATGCTTGATCCCACGCAATATTATTGAAATTTGTCCGTCATTTTACGATATAGAAGAGATTTTGGCCATGGCATATGTAAACCAGAGCTACCAAATCGATTGTATACCAGAATTAATTGATACTAAGGTTTTACTATAACAACCAAATCATTGTTAGCTTAAGAAAGTCAGGAAAAATAAAAAAACCATAGTTTTTTCAGCAAATTGTGTAATGAGTTCATTAACAAAAAATAAACAACAACAATAGGAAATATAAAAAATTAACTGTTATATTTTTTTTTTTTATATTTCATATTTTATATGTTCAAAATTTTACAATATAATACTATATAAAACTCATCAAGATTGGATCATATTATACAATAAATAATACAATTAAAAATACAGTACAATAATAAGTTCACAAGTATGTAAAATATATACTGCATATAACTTATCAAAAAAGTAAATAATAAATACATAAATTATATAAAATGAAAAATTTAAGATAATAAAATGTAATATTATCAAATCAGTTACTTTTATGTTTGCTAATTTTCTGTTAAAACATTATTGAAGTATATATTAATACAGTTAATAGTTATAGGTCTTGGAAAAATAAAAATAAATTGTATCAATTAAATTTTGATTTATTGTTATTGTAGGTTGAATTCTCACAAATAAGTTCACTAAATGCATCTTTGTGAATAGTTAAAACAACTAATATTTCTGGGTATTCTAATATTGATTTGTATCTTAAACTATATGAAATTGAATCTTCAGGATCAAGTTCGTAATATCTAACAAAATAAGTTTAATAATTAATATTTCGATTTATCATGTATATAGTATTAGAACCTATTAAAAATGAAATATAAAACAAATATATACTAACTTTCCAAATGAACTTTTCATTAAAAATGTTACACCTCTAATTCCAGCAGAGATATAAAATTTCATTTTTTCTTTTACTTCATCTTCATGAAATTCTAATGAGAAATAATTTCTGACAATATCATTTATTTTTTGATACTCGGGAACTCTGAAAATTTATTTTTAGAATTAATACAATTTAAATTAATTGTATATATTTAAATATAAGAATAAAATAAAAAATGCATTAATACTTGTGATTGGTGAATTTTACATCAATACCATGAAATATCCAATCTATACGCCAAAATATTTTATTTAGTTTGTGGTTAAAAAATGATGTATTATTTTTATTCATGGTAGAATTTGGTAATATTTGTAATCGAACATTTCGTTGATAAGCTTGGTAACGTAATCTTCGAAATCCCTAGAAATAACAAGCAATTTCTATATTATTTTCTATCTATATATTATCACAAATTCGTGATATTAATTTGTTTTAGACTTAAAATTCTACTTTAATTTTTATAAATTGAAAATATAAAATATGACAAAGCGCAAGTAATCTTACTAAACATTAATTTATAGAATTTAATACTTACAGGAGCTAAATTTGATAAGCGTTGAGTTTTCATTTTAAACTCTCCAACAACTTCAATAAACTCGTTCATAAGTCTGTAATCTATTTAAAAAATAATGTAAATATAAAAATAAGAACTATAAAAAACACAAGAAAGAATATATTTTTATACCTTGACTCATTTCGTTATCATTAAATTTCTCTAGTTTTTTGAATCCTGTCTTATATCTTTTACCATCGCAATCTAATTCTTTTTTGTGAATGTTCACGCATGCTAAACAACACGTTTTAACTTCACACCTAGGACAACAGTATTTGGCCAAATCACTACTGCACACTTCACAAAACCCAAGACTATAGTAAAAACAAACGACAAGTATTAATATTTCAACAACATAAATTAAAATTATTAGTTTATATAATTTTTACCGACTACTCGATTCCATGATAGTTTTTATTTTTATTTATATAATAATCTCAAGCACCGATACCGTGAAAAATCGATGTCAAATCAAATGTATGTTTTAAAGAAAAATTCGGAATACGCATTACGACCATGGCAAAGGATCCGTCACAATGTAACGAGGTGTGATGTACACAAAGTAAATTTATTACATAAAACAAAGCACAATGAATTGCACGAAGTACAAACGGAAATGGCGTGGTTGCACATTTTAATTTTACTTCATTCAATAATATCATCGCGAAGCACATGTTTTGATATGTTATCTGTTGACCAATACGGTAATCCAGATATTACGATGCTAAGCCCGCGTCACTATCGTCATGTATGTCCAGATGAAACGTTTGTATCGCCGTTCAATTATTTGAGGTTAGCGCTTAACGGATATTATTTACCTTCAATTCAGACAATAATTTTCTGAACACCTACTATTCCTTAATTTCTACAAAAAACTGTCTTCGGAGTATCTAATACCAAATATTTTTTTATAGTTTATTGCTGTAATCTCAGTGGTTGTACTGTTTTTTTTTTTCACTATTGGTAGGAAAGTTATGGTTTTATATAAATTCATTTTGTTTGCGAATAATTTGATTTTTACCAAACAAAATTATAAACTTAATTATGTTAAGTGATACACATAGTTTATTATATTTGAACTTTTGATTCTAATTATAATATTTTATCAAAAGGTAGGTTGTTAAATTTTATTAATATTTTTTTTATGCTGAAATATTTTGGTTTGATAATTATTATTTAATATCAATATCTACATCATAAACTGAAAATTATAATATTAAAACTTGGGATTATAAAATATTAGGTAATGAATAAATTGCTGCAACTATAAACAATGTATTGGAAAGTGGTTTATTTATGCAAATATTAATACTTTTACCAATGTTATAAATTATGTTATAATGTTATAATGTTATAAATTCCATTGAATTTTACATTAAAAATACTAAAATTACTTAAAATATATAGGTTTTAAAATACATTTTTGATACTTTAAGGATAACATTATAATTTACAAAATGAGTTTGCTTGAAATAATTTTAAACATGTACTATAAGACAATTTTGAATTAACCATTATTCATAATTTATACTTATGCATTATATGTTTGAATTAGTTGAAAATGGATTCTTTCATGAATGTTTCAAGAACCATGGATAACTCTACCATGTCTATGGTTAATCAAACAATTTCAACTAAAGAAAGTTTAGATCTATCTGGGAAAATGTTGGATAAATTTTTTGCAGCAGATGATTCATTTCCAACACTTATTGATAAAATGCATATAACTAATAGTGGTCAGTATTAATTTTATTAAACCGACTATGAACTATTTTAATATGGTACAAAGATTAATTAATAGAATTTATTTTTGTAATTTACAGGTTATAGTATTAGTGGATGTACAGAATATGACTATCCTAAAGAAGGACTAGGAATGTCTTCTATCGCTCCTCTTAAGTCACGACACAAGATATCACTTCCTGGTGCATTATTGGAACAATGGAATGGTATTATTATTAACATTTGATATATTTTAGTTAATTTGTTTGCTATTTATATATTTTTGGATTTCTTCAATAATAAAATTAATACTTACTAAATCAATAATTTATTGTTATCGCCTAATTTAAAATTTATAATTATTTTTTTATAGATTCACAAAATTTCCATCGTAAGTTAGGAATCTTTCCTGAGATTAACAGAGTTTGGATCACAATTGATCAGGAGTTTTTCTTATGGGACTATAGTGAAGGGTTAGTTAATATTGTACTATATATAGTATTTTACTAGTTGTTTTTATATATTTATATTTTTTTTAGAACCGACTTATCTTATTTTGATGGAATGAATTCTACTATTTTTGCAGTAGCTTTAGTTTCACCTAAACCAAATGTATTTCAACCTCATATAAAACATTTATTAGTCCTAGCTACTGGTTTAAACATAGCAATATTAGGTGTAACATTTAAAAAAGTCACCGGTATCGATGGTAATTTTTTTAAAGTTTTTTCTTAAAATATTTAATAAATAACTGTCAATTATATTCTTCTAATACCTATCAATAAACAATTATGTTATCTAAAATATATTAATAAAACCAAATATCTTTGTATAATAAGGTAAAACAGTAGAGCAATTAGAACTGACTACAGATACAATTTTTGAAGTTCCTACTGAAGGTGTAATAACTTCCAAAATTGTTGGAACAAATGATGGGCGAATTTTTCTTGCGAGTGAAGATGGCAATCTATTTGAAATTGATTATTGGGTACTAAAAATAAATAAAAAAAAAATACCATCAATTGAAAATGTTAACATACATTATTTTTATTTAAAATATGTAGAAAGATTTAGGATGGTTTTCTATTGGAAATGGCAGACGATGCAAAAAAATTTGTCATTCAGCTGGCACTCTATCTTATATACTTCCTTCGTTTTTATCATATGTGATCAATGAACCTTCGACTATTGTTGAAATAGCTGTTGATAACACTCGACATATACTTTATACTTTGACTGAAAATAGTTCAATTGATTTATATGACCTGGGATCTAATGGTAAATCAACAAGTCGAATTATTTCTTTGTCACATTCTAGTCTTGAGCATCAAGTTTCTAAATTACTTAGGTAAACTAATATATATTTTTTCAAAATGAAATAATACAATTAGATATAACTTAACGGATTATATATTTTTCAGAACCATGGAAATAGCTCAAATGACTATATTGAGTAGTATCAAAATCATTGAAGAAACCGAATCGTCAAACATTCATCTAATGGTTGTATCTAAATCTGGATTTAGGTTATATTTTACAACTGGAGTAATAATCTCTAATAATACTAGACCTTACACATTACAACTTTTACACATACGATTACCTCCAGGATATAATAGGGTTGTAGGAGAATCCAAACCAAGTAGTGTTCAACATGTGATGTATAATAGAGGTATTCTTTGATTAATTTAGTAAAATTAGTAATAGTTATTTGTTATAATTTTATACTATAACACCCAACCATAACCTTTATTTAACCACTAATATACCTTTATTTACCAAACAAATTGTAGCTAAAATTATACACTACTTATTATAATACTTATTACATATTTCATGAGTATTATTAAAATACATAAGTAAACATATGCCAGTTATAAATAGACAAAAATAAAAAATAAATAGATTACTATACTACAGCCAAATTTGCTTATGGTAATCTTTTGAGAAACCTAAAATAACTGATGATTATAATTAGATTACAAAATTTTGATTTTTATGAAAAATTTTATTATATTTTAAACCGTATTGTATTTGAAAATAAATACCAGTCATTCTTTGCGTAAATTATTTTAATGAGAGGTCTTAATATAAAGTTGAAATGTATTTTTTGACCAAGAAAAAATGGAAAATAAACAAGACCATAATTTACAAAAAATGTTTTCTATTCTATATAAGTTTTTTTCTTACTAAAAAATTTATAACTTTTCTGCATTTTTCATAATATTAAATTCCAGAATAGAATTTATTTAGTAACTGTTTTCCTAGATATTCCTAAATTTCAACTTTTTGTAATTGGTGAATATAAAACCAAATTTTATTTTATTAAAACAATTATTGTTTTACCTGACCAAAATGACTGCACACAAGATAACTACTTTGCTGGGGATTGTCTTACCCTGAATATTATTTTATTTATATCATTGTAATAAATGGATTTAAGTGTACATATAATTAGTCTTTTAGGAGTTAATGGATGTAAAAGCAGTACTTGCTACTTTTAAAAGTATTTCTTGGGTTCTCTCTTCACATATTATAATGTATCTATTATTATAATAATAATTTTACTTAAAAAAAATTTGAAATTAAAGTAATTACTAAAGGTCAGATTAATATTCTTTTAAAATTCTTAAAATATGAGGTTTTTATGTCGTTTAAAAAAGGCAATATATTCTGTAAATATTCTTTAAAATACCAAATTTATGATACTTCATGTTTTTAAAAATACAAATATTCTTTCAATATTCTGTAAAAAAATATATATATTATAATTACTTGGTTAAAATTTCTTAATTACTAATTGTTATTATTAATTTGACTTACAATAACATTTTTGAAAAAAAAAATCTGTTTTAATGCAAATTTTAACCATACGTGGATCTATTGATTAATTTTTAAAACAACCTAGGATATAAAAATAACTCACATTGTGAATATTGTATTTGTTGATCAATATTATCAAAATGCTGATGTACGTAATATGTCTATAGATATGCAGACAAATAATATGTAATATAAATTATTTTCTTCAAAAATAAATACTTACAAAAATAGAACCTTCAAAAATAAAAATGTACTGAATATTTCCTAAATCCTAAAATATGCTTTTTTATGCAAAATACATTTTTTTTTAAGGGAATTCTGTGTTTCATTAACCGTAAAGGTATCTCACTTCTGTTTAACTGTATAGACTAGAAACAAATATGTAAAATCATAAAAATTTGACTTCTAGTAATTACTATTAACTAGACATTTTAACTGATTTTTTTTGTTTTTTCTATTTGCAGGTACTATTATAATGGCGTGTGATACTGACATAACTAATTACAGACCAATGTTATGGTGTATAACTCCTGATGAATATGCTTTTAATCCTAACTTTAGTGAAAGATATTTTATTACCGATCTGGATGTATGCCCATTATCATTAGAAAACATAGGACCCAATTTATTGATATACAATGACCCAACCTCAATACAACCACCACTTATTGTTCGCCAACAATTTGAAAATCGACAAGAATATATTACCATAGCTCCTCAGGTAATTATATTATTTAGTTAAAAAAAAATTTTTTTTTTTTTTACTTAAATCAAAATCTCTTCTTTCAGGGTTTGGAAATTTTTGAAATGCTTCGACCATATGACACTCTCTGTGAATTGTTTACTATCAGTCAAGGTTCAGAAACAGATGCTATCAAAACATATTTCAAAAATTTCAGCGATGATCAAGCATGTGTTGCTTGTCTCACAATAATTTGTGATCAGTCATTAAAGAACATTAAAGTAAGTGCATACATTTTCTTTCATGCTTGAGTATTAAAGGTATATTTTAAATTATTAGGTCAAAGAATATGCAACCCGTGCATTTTTCACTCATGGCGGTGAACCTAAATTAGTGACTGAAAATTTACATAGCTCACTCAATGATTCATCAAGAGTTCTTCAAAATACTAGTAAGAGTTTAATTTATCATAGTATATATTTTTATCTGAAAAGTTTTCGACTAATAATTTGTTATGACAAAATACTTTTTAAATACTTAATATTTTAAATATATAATTGAGAAATTACTATATAATTATATAGGTAATTGTTTTCAATATTTACAGGTTTTAGACCAGGAAATTTTACAACATTCATGAACAATCAATCAAATATAACAAATCTACCTTTTGAATCTACTAGCGTTCATTATTCATCTAAACATAATGGATTATATTTATTTGTCAGTCGTTTACTTAGACCCCTTTGGAATATTAAAGCAGTAAATATGGAGACTACTGATGGAAAAACTTATGTAATATAATTATATAAATAATATCTGTCCATTTTTAAATACATCAAAATATAATTTAAAATAATTGAATATATCTATTTAGATTGTCAATACTGTATCTCCAGATGATTGTTCATTTGTAGCTAGTCATTTGCAAACTTTACACACTTTTATGAATAATTATTCAAAAATGTTAGGAAGTTATACTAAGGCTACATTAGATGCTTCAAAACGTACAATTGTACAAGATGCAAATCAATCTGAAACTAAATCTATTGAATGTTTGAAACAATTAGTTGTTTATAGTGCTGAAGTGTTTAATTTATGGAAATTACTCAGTGAACATCAATTTTATATTATAGCTAGCAAATTAAGTGAAGTAAGTTAAAAAAAAAAAAATTATTTAGCAATGTATTTGTTTTTATATTAGCTAGATTATTATTAATTATATACCTTTTTTAGTATAAGGTGTATAAGGCATTTATTTATATTCTTAAATATTTGTTTAAGTAAACTTATCAGGTTTAATGTTAAAATTATCCAATTTTAATTTCAGCAAGAACACCGTGTATTGGAAAATGTTACTTTTAAGGAATTGATCCTTGTGCATCAAGAAATATGTCAAAGCTTAGTACAAAAACTTTTAGATACGTGAGTAAAGTATATTATTACATTCATTGTTCATTTTTCATATACATTATTGTTATAAATTGTTCCACGAAGAAAATATTAATTCAATGACATAATTTAAGATATTAATATATTTTTTATTTTGTATTTAGATATTTAAATGAGAATTCATCTGTAGAATCAATTAGTACGAAACTACGCCAAGTATGTCCATCCATATACCATTCTGAAGATGCTGCTTGTGCTAAAGTAAATACTATTATTTATTATATAATTTAATACAAATTTAAAGTAATTATGAATTTTAATTACCATAGGCTTCCGAAATGATTAAATTGGCTCAGTCAACAATCAATGAAGATGAACGTAAACGAATTTTATATCAATCTCTTATGGTAATTTATTGTGATTGACTATAAATTTTATTTCTTTATTCATATATTTTTATTGTGTTAATATTAAAATCTTATGAAATATAGGTGTTAAAAGAGGTAGCACCAAAGTTTAATTTAACTTCCGTATGTTTACAATACACAAATTGTGCTTATATGGAAGGTGTATATCAATTGTGTAGTGAGTATGCCAAAAAAGTTGATCCAAAAAATTTAGGTGGTCATTACTTTGTCAACAATATGGTGTTAGATAGAGACGGGCCTGGTTATGGTGCTTACATGTTTAGGTAATATTTATTATTTTCATGCTTGAAGAACATTATTTTAGAAAATTCATCAATGCATTTGTTTAAAATTGCAGGTTAGACATTTACAAAGAAATAAGTGCAAGTTTAGACTCCTTATACTCAATCATGGTGAAAAATCCATCAGTGATCATTCCTAACCGACCAAATTTAATACCTGGCATTTTAGAAAATTCTGCGTTAACTCCTGAACAAGCTTCTAATTTGGTATTTTTTTTTTTATTTTTTTTTTTTTTTTTAATTTTAATTTAAATAATTTAATTACATTCTTATTACTGTTGTTGTTAATAGATATCAGAGTTAATAAAGTTATGTATTTCCTGTGATGATGAAATCATGCATACTGTCGTATACAGGTGGATGATTGATAAGAAATTAATAAGAGAAACCATTGAAATGGGACATCATAGTTTGGAAAAGTTTTTGTTAACCCAATCTAAGTCTGATGATAGCAATAATTATATCAAAGATGTATTATGTAGATATTATGAGTACAATGGAAATTATAATGAGGCAGCAGAAGTTTTAGCATCATTAGCTAAAAGACCTGAGTAATATTACTATTATTTTTCTTGTAAAAATTATTTTTTTTTTGCAATTTAATTTATGTTTACTTTTTTTATCAGGAGTGGCTTAACTTTAAGCGATCGTCTTATGTATTTAGGCCGAGCAATGGCATGTTTACGTAGTAAAAAGTTGAGTACTCCTGCATTAAATGCTACTAGTCTAAGAGAAGTAGAAGACTTATTACAAGTAGCTGAAATACAAAAAATTGGTTTGTTAATTAATGTTTCAAATAAAATATTTCATTTCAATTTATGTATTAGATTTTAATTTTTTAATTTTTTGCATATTTAATTTATTAAATTAGATATTGGATTTATTGTCATCTAGCCAAGTTGTTGGGAAAATTGATATCATTGAAAAACTTAATAGCAATCTGTTTACATTAGGAGAAGTATGATATTTACTTATTTTTTGTGTACAGTAGAAAATTAAGAAGATAATTGATTGTAAATAATATTGTTTGTTCTAGCTTTATAGTAATTTTGCGGAACCTCATAGTTTATGGGAAGCTCAGTTAGCAATATTACAACTTTCTAATCATGATGACCGCGAATTAGTCAACCAGATTTGGGAAAATATTTTACTTAAAGGTAAATTAAAATAATAACAGTTTTAAGAAATAATATTTGTCTATATTTGTATCATTAATAATTTAATACCCTAACTGTGTAATTGTGTTTTATTTGTAAAAATTTTTTTTATCTTTGTACAATATTTATTACAAGAATACATTATAGTTTTTGATATTTCTTAGGGTATTATATATTTTAATAAATTCAGAAAATTTTATTTTATTTTTTTATATATTGATTTCTCTGTTATTTACATATTTTTTTAAGTTGTGGAAGACTGCGGTGATATTGGTGAACACAATAAAATGACCATTGCTTTGGAAAAAATTAAGTCATTGGCCAGTTCGCATCCAATTAATTCTTCGACTTTTGACCTAGGTATGTTTAGATATTTATTTCTTATTTCGGGAAGTGTAATAATTATTTATATTATGTCTATGATACATTTTTATTTTTTTTTGTTCAGAATATGTAACAACTATGTTAGAATATTTAAATTGTAACTTGGGTGGCGATTTGGAATCTGTATACACAACTATGTTGACAATTGGTGCTCCTATTGAATCTCTAGTGGCCATTTATAAAAAGTAATTTTATAATATTATAAAATCTTATTATTATTTTTAATCTTATAATCTGTTCGGTTAGAATTTATTCTACTAATGATCCACGGTGGCAGAAGACCAGTGAACTGCATGTGTTAGAAGTAATCATGAGTCTAGCCAGATATTATTTACAAAATGTTGATTTATGGCCTTCAGGGATGCAAAGGTAAATCATTTTTTATAAATTTTATTTTATTTCAACTACCTCATTTAAAATAAATTAATATTTTTCAGGAGATCGATTGCTGTAAACTTATTTGATTTGTTGGTGATTTGTCAAAATATGCTTTACAGTCGTTTTGCTCATAGTCCACTGATTGAAGGTGTCATTGCGATCAAAAATGAACTTGATAATATTATAAAAAACTAAATGCAACAAACTAACATAATAATTTTGAATATATCAATTATTTTTAAATATTTATTTCCCTCATTATTTTATACTTAAAAAATGAAATGTCATATTGTCATTTTATTAGAATTTTTCACTCAGAATATGGCCTCTACCACTATGATAAAATGTATATCAGTTTTTTCAAATAATATAATTGAGAAATATATCTGTAATTAATATTTGTATATGTTTCAAACCACAGATTTATGCGACATTTTATTTCATCAAATTCTTTGTGAATAATAAAATTAATATTTTAACATAAATTGAATGATCACTTTCAAAGAATAGAAATGGTAATTATTTTTTATACTTATAAGGAATTTTCTTTATTGATATTGTACAGTTAATAAATGAATATTTAATAGTAGAACATTATTTTGTACAAAAAGTAAGTTTTTTTCAGTTGAATTCCTCAGTCTAAGGTTTCCATTTTAAAAACTGTGAAAGGGAAATAAAACTTTATGTAAAACAAGTAATGTTTTATTTCATTTTTTTAACATCACTATTAAAGCTACTGTATTACACAGTATACCATATATTTTGATAAAATATAAGAATTCAAATTAATATAAATTGAGAAACTATCAAATTTTTACGATAAATAAATTAATAAATAAATGAAGAATTCTGACCAAATAAATAAATATTACATTGACAATTAATATAATTATTTATTTATTCAAAAGATAAAACCTCTTCAAATTCATAAAATAAAAACAAAAAATAATACATTTTCATAACTAATCATAATTATCATGCATTATACACAAAACAATAAGTAATAAAATTGTGTAAATAAAAATATAATTCTTGCGAAAAAATAATATTACATATTACAAAGCTATAAAGAATGTATACGTATAGTATAAAAAAAAAATTCAATGAAGAGATACACTGAACATTAAGTCATGAATATCACAACAAAAAATTAGTGTTAAAAAAAAGTAAATACAATTAAAAAATGTGTTTATTTATAACAATGTATAAAAAAACACTTGCAACATCAAAATAAGGTACATAATAATAAAATAATAATGTACATGTAATAATAATAAACACAAAATTATAGACATACATTAGTACATATATCTTAAAGAAAAAAAATTAGATGAAAAAAGTCCACTTAAACTAAAAAAAAAAAATTGTCGTTAATGATTTTTAAAAAAAAAAAAACAAAAAAAATCAAAAATTACAGAATAAATTAATCATTAATAAAAAAGTAATCAATGTGTTCTGATAATTAGTAAAAATTCATAAAACAGAAGTATAATAAAATTCTTAAGGAGATATTAAAAAAATTATCAAAGTAAGAAAAATAAACAACAGTTATACTAAAAATGGAAAAAAAATTCGCTTTTAACATAAATTGAAAAATTGATAAAAAAAAAAAAAAGAAACAGTAAAATCAAGATATTATTTCGGTAGTAATTAGAAGTACATAAAGTGGTTACATATAGTGCCTGTTGATTTCGTATGCTACAACTTGTTTCTTGACAAGTTAAATATCTTCTTCAGTAGGCTCACACTTTTTAAATGTTGTTGTGATGATCCCTAACCAGTCACTCAAGATGGACAATGTCTTATTGTCTGCAGGATCTTTATTCTTTAACATCACTCAAATTATCCAATGAGTCTATGAGAGTATTAAACTATTAAATAAATCGCTTCCTATGTCCTGCATCATTCTTGAATACACTCCATGAATTAACCTTTATTTGCTCAAAAGGTACTTCACTAGAACACTCGCAAACCATGCCATCTTTTCGTGGCTGTTCAGCAGGTATTTCACCTTTAGAAACTTGCTGCGTAAATTTATTTCGTGTAAGCCAGTCTTGGCGATTAAAAATTTTTCTTTAAAATTATCTTCGCCTTTATTCGTATATGTTATAGGTGAAGTCATCAATGACACAATGACTTCATTGATGCTTTCAACTACGTAAGACACTTCCCGTTCGGTCATAATCAATGGCATCTCTGTGCTTTGTGCTTCTTGTTTGATCGAACTATTTGGTAAAGTTTTTAAATGTGTCGTTAATGCCTCGCCGGTAGCACGCTTTCCTATAAAGTCCGTGGAAGACTACACAACTGCGACTTGATTGTCAATTTGAACACCAATGTCCGAAATGTTCCTCCTATCGGTTTGCGAAGAAAAGTTACGTCGACAAAATTTCGGTTCAACTACGTCCGTTTAAGTGGACGCGTCACGTCTCTCAATCTTCGCTTCCACCACGGCGAGGCAGCAATGGTGGCATGTGGTTTTCCAACGGTGGTCGACGCAAAGATCACGTCTGGTGACCAAGTGGCTCGCTGCCGTCGACGTGGCCCGCAATTCTTCGTCTGCGCACCAGTAATGGATAGAGTAACGCGGGCCTGGACGGCCGCACCCGTAACCTCACGATCGGTTAATGGCGACCGAAGTGGGCCCGCTACGTTGGTTCCGGTTTGACACCGGAACCACCCACTTCTGCCGACCACTGGGGTTCCGAAGCCCCTGAAGTGGTAACAATACTCGACTGATAGTAACTCATATTGTGGTTTTTTAAGTGATTTCCTTCACTACATTTTAACCCTACTACCAGGGGGTTTTTGATCAAGGTTTTCTTTCCTCTAGGACGGCTGTCACCCAAGGCTGAAGAGCCCGCCCTACCCTTTGTTGAGAACCACTTTGTCAGCCCTCAGTTCGTCGACCTGTCCAACATGGGAGACTCTGTTGGTAGTAAGTTACCGTTGGCATAGCTCTCGGAACTGTTGAGGGACGCAGGCCCCCACACCACGTCAAGGTGGATTCTCGTGGGGGGGTTAGTCAAAACGTCACGCTGGATGAGAAGCATACGCAGCCCTACGAACGAGGTTGGGAAAGACAATATATATTTTTTCTATACCTCTATAAGGGGCAACTGTGAGTGCTGTCTCGTACTCGCCTCATAACAATTTGTGACACTGAAAGGACAAATTATGGAGACCCGCCACCCGAAGCATTACCTCATCGACATATCTGGGTGGCGGGCTTATTGCCGGTTTTTAAGAGGGAAAAATATCCCCTTATAATCTGGGTATCCACAGGTGCTAGTAAAAAAATATCCTAAAATTTAAGTCTAAGAGTAATGGTTTCGAATTTTAACTGATACTATTTAAATAAAATGGAATTTATTCTAAAATATTGGGCAAAAAATAAATTTTGTTTTATAATAGAAAAACTAGAACTATATTTTTGTGTAGAAAACTTATTATGATAATATAATAGCTAAAATTAACTACAAAAGTACAAATCATAAATAATTATAACTATCTGTGAAAAATATACAAAATTCTAGAAAAACATATTTATGAAATTAATTACCACAATATTAAATAAAAAATTCGATTTATGTTTATTTAACTATTTATTAAATATACCTACACGTTTTGTTAAGATAAGGCCCATGAGTATAGTAGGCACCTCCTTAAATGCAAATCTCCATACTAGTATACTAGAATGAAAATAGTTAAAGAAAAAAAATTTGTACCTGGCAATTATCAATAATTCATTTAAGAATTATGTTTATAAAACTTGAAATAATAAATCATAATAATTATATCAATAGTAAAAATAATAATAAATAAAAAGTACATTTTTCAAAAATTACAAAAGAAATTGTTTATCTTCTTCATTTGATCCTAAAATAACGGTAGGTATTCTTAAAAATAATTTTTTTTTAAATATTCCATAGTGAAGGCTTGAAAGGGTTGGAAAAGGGTTAAAAGTTCTTACATGGTATAAATATTTGCCCGACAGATTTCTACATAAGCTGTCTTCAATGACTGGCGAATTCGCTATTTGAAAAATCGACGAATCGACCATTGATTAGCGATAGTTAACTGACAAATTAAAATCGTTTTAAACTTAAAACTTATAAGCATAAATGAAACTTATGGTGGCTTTAGAAAAGATTAAAAGGAAATTGTATGTGCAGTGGCTTAACCAGAACTTTTAATGCACGTGGCAAAATAATCCATTCGGACCCTTAGTTTTATAAATTTGGAAGAAAGAGATATGAGGAATAGCCTACAAAAACTAACCACCAATAAAATTCTACCCTTTAAGGTTAAAAACAATAAAAAACATGTTTTGTGTAATATTATATTTATAGTAAAATTTTATTAAACATTTTTTGGTTTAAAAATAAATACAAAGCAATATAAAATTTAAATATTCAAAATTTCTTATTTCTTGCTTTTGCTTCAGCAAACATATCGATTAAATCGTCAAAGTCAACTTCTCGGGCTATTTCTTGTTCGATTGAAATTAACGCCAGGCCACTTAAACGATCTTGCAATGGGGCCATAGATAAAAATAACCCCCAAAAATAATAAGATTTAGTGCTATTTGCGCTACTGGTTGGAGGCCTAAGGAGCGAAGGGTAGTTTTATATTTATACCTTAAGCCGCGCATACACTAGACCCGAACCGGCCGAACCGAAAAAAATCAAAATGCCGATTTTATATGTGAGTGCATACACTTATACCGAACTGATAACCCGAACCGAAATTCGGATCGGTTCGAATTTCAACCGTTCAAACATGTTTAAATTTTTCGGCCGAAAATTAGTGGTACTATTCTATGTATAGGTCCTACCTCTTGGTTTGAGACGTTGATAATAAATTAAATATTGTGGTCATATTACATTTGGTGTTTTAATAACATCGTTGTGTACCTATTACCTAGTACCTACTATGTCCTAGTATTAAGTACTTTAGATATATCATAAATCGTGATATTTTAGTATATATGTTTTGAAAACGTGTGTTTTATCTACAATTTTCAAATCGACCGTTTCACATTGGTTTTTCGATAATGTAGTCGTACTAACTCGTAAATATTTTAGTAGTTGTAAATACATCGCACGTGAGAGTTGCACACCATGCACTACATTCGTCAACTGTCGAAAACTGATTGTAGAAAATACAATACGTGGTTTACTCTAGTTATTATCATAAGTCACGACATAATATGATTATTTAATTAGCTATTTAGCTATTAACT